GGTCGTCTACTAAATATTAGTGCTAAGTTCTAAATATTCATAAATCCAGTGAAGTAAAAATTATGGTTTATTTTATTTTTTTAAAAAATTAAAATCAAATTCTTGTGTATTTTATGAATTATAAGTAAACTAACTAATACTATATGACAACAGTAACCAATTTAGTGTTCGAGCTCAAACATCGTTACAAACAATTAGTTCACTATCGAAATGTTATGCAAATGACGTGAAACTGTATAGAATATGTAGAACAGTTAACAAACAAACTAATTTAAATTGGAAATATAGATACAATCTTAAAACAACTAAATTTCCCCCTATTGAGTAGATATAGAAATGTGAAGGAAAATAAATATACAAATACTATGCGCTAACATAATTTTTACTAAATTAATAAGTACTTACAACATAAGATTCATAAATATTAGTTGATAATATATTTCGAAAACAACTTATGAGTTATTTTCATCTTATTTAATAATAAAAATAGTTTGATTGGGACTTGTGTTACATTTTCTGGTATAAACTCTTGTACCGTGCAATTTTAAAAATAAATGATATTGTACGATAACACCAAATGACAAGTTCGGGTGACGAGAAGTCAATAAAAGAGGCAGTGACTGGTGTTAAGAGGGAGCCCACCGGCCATTTCTAAGGAGTAAAGTATAGGCAATTTTTCGATAAATCTTAATTTAGAGTTTGAACTATAATGTATACTTATTAATACAGTAATGAGGATACTTTTTTGATTGCCATCTTTTTTGTCAGACTATCACAGTCATGTCTATAGGATAAATTACAATTTTTTCCCATCAAAACTGTTTTGCGCGGATTAATTTTCTCAGGCTTCATACATAGTTAAGGAATGAAATTCATACATATTATTTATGATAAAATTATCTGTGTTCCATCATCCGTATTTTTTCGATATATCTAATACAATCAACGCTATATCATTTTTAAAAAAGTCAAAAAAAGTCCTTTCTTAATTAATTAATTATTCATTAACTGGTTGAAATATTAAAAAAAGGCGATAATAAAACACAGACAATGTTGTTGTCTATATTATGTAAAAATTTGGTTTCTTAGTTTTGATTATATCCTTTGTAAAATTAATCCGCGCAAAGCGGGTTTTTTGTAGAAAATAACGGGTGTGTGACGTCCTCTTAACTGTCAAATGTCAATTACTATATTGTATAGATTATGATCAACGTATTGAAAGATTAAATGTCATATATGATCAGTTGTTACCAAAAAGCGAACAATTTTTAATATTTCTCACATTTTTTTTGATCTAGTTTTCTATTTCTTATTTAATTCAGGAATGAATCTTCTTTAAAGTTATTAATTAACGTTAGCGGACGTTTTTTTTTTTTTAAAGTACAATTTTTAACTGAAAACAGGTTAAGTTTTCGTGTAAGTTAACTTAACTTAAACTTGTAAAACAAAGGTTATTTTGCCCAGCTTTGTTATGGAATACATCCATGCGAGAACTGGGACTAGGCGTGATGGGAAGCTGTAATAAGTTGTCCCATCGTCCGCATAATTCTACGGCAGGCGCAGCTCGCCGTTGGAGCTAGATGTCCGGATAACATTTCAGAACGTGCGTCTTACCGAGGGCACGACCAGGGAAGGGGGGGTTGCAAGACCATGTATCCATTTTAAGTATATATATTTATTCATATGATAATATTACGGATTTTACGGCGTGCGGTCGCTCAGGTCCATAAGTCCAACGACGATCGACCGACCCGATAGTGTCGGCTACGTCCCCAGAAGGCATGTCATTGACGACGAAGAGGTCCGTTCACGCGATGACACAAGTTGTATTATTACTGTTGTCGGTGTTTGCGCTGTTGCCTACGCGTTTGTTGCCAGCGGTCGGATACATAAGTTACACATCGTTGGCGTGTATTATTATTATTATTGTTATTACACAGCTCGTGTGTGTGTATGGAGCCAATCGCCAAAGAACGCAGGGTGAAATACGCGGTGATGTGTTGAATTTGTACCGAGACTCGAGCTGTACACAATGCACAGCTGATGCACTACATAATATGCTGCCCGGGGTAACAGCCGCATGTCGCGCACGCAATCCAAATGTCCGTCTTGGCCGTTTGCGCTTCCCGTTCGCCGCGATACCATCTCCGTGTCATGTTTATTGGCCCAACCGCGAGACCCCCATAAAACCCCATTTTTCTTATTATTATTTTCTATAAATCGCACACGCGCTCGCGCATACACACACACACAAACTAAACGCCAACACGAACGATCGCGACCGCGTGGGCCGAACACATAGTACGCGTTATTATATACTCGATGTAATGTATCTATGTGCCTTCTATAGTGTAGTTTTACGAGGGTATAACACAAATGCCATGTATATTATATATATATATATATATATATCATATACAAACACATATACACAACCGCGGCTACAATATAGTAAATATATACGTACCCAACCTACGACTGCGAACGTATGGTACCTACTGTATAAACAGTTCGGGGTTCGCGACATTTGTGTACAGTAGGTATATTTATAATTTGTAACGTTAATTTTTCACGTGAATAAAACTGTGCGAGTTAGAAACAAGACATCAGAAATCTGAATTTCGCAGACAAACATATTAACCTTGTTTAAAGACTTGCAAACTCTCAACTCAATGCAATTAGGTACACTGTAGTACAACTATTCGATTTTAAAATCAATGGTAAAAAATTATATATTTAGCAGTAGTACAACCTAACTAAAAGTATGGCAACAACGGAGTAATCGGGAGTAATATTAAAAATATATCGTTCCGTTAAGGTTGATACGGAGTAACCCGGACCATTCCGACCTTGACGGAACAATACAGTGCTCCAATAAATTTTTCGATCCCTGACTTGGGGCTTTGGAGAGACGCTATTATGATTTTTACAATATAAACAATTCACCGATAATCACGATAATATTAAAGTAAAACATAGAATTCTACATACATGTACCCGGTTGCACCAAACTTGTCGTTATCTATTATAGTAATTTATAAATCAGATAGTAATAATAATTTACTATCTAGTATAGTAAATTATTTACCACCGTAAAAAACTAACTTTTGTTAAATTAACATGTGTTAAATTTACGAGTGTTGCTCAATCGTTGTTTTATATTCAGGTTACCAGTATACTGGTTATCGAATAAATAGTATCAACAGTAGGAGTTAATATTAATATCATATATTGTTTAATCAATGATAATGATTTCCACTTTAACGCAAAACATTGATAACAAAATGTAACTATACAAAAAATTGTACACAGCGCTAAATTGCACTGTAATTTAACTCGTGATAAAGTACATTTTTAACAACAGATAAAATTTAAAACATGGTTTATGCAACAGAATTTATTTTAACTCCAGTTAAACAAGTTTATCTCTGTGTAAATATTTGGTGCAACCCGGCATAAGGCTTTCAAAATATGAAAACGAAATAAAATTATTAACTATAGGTACTACTTGTACATAATGGCTGTAAACATAATATTTTACAATGTGATTATTAGCAATCTCCTTAGAGTGATATTATGTTTAATTAATCTGTATAGGTATCTAAAAATGAATGTATGTGTGTGTGTCCTTTATGCATTAGTACACCATTCATCCGATCGCCATGAAACTTTGGAAAGTTGTTGAGTACACTACCGCGAAGGTAACTGGCATAGTACTTTTCGAAAATTCCACCCTTAAGGATGGCCTCAAACACGAATTTTATACTTTAAATACGAAATATTTTTCGTTGCTAACCCAAAATAAACACTTTGTTTGTAACCATGGTGACTACGGTACTGGGTACACGACAATCTTCAAAGTGGGACAAACTGAAAGCAGAGAAAAGGCGAGAAAAGAGGACGACATAAACATAATTTTATTAGAATAGCGTCACTTATTTTAAATCAAATTTCAATAATATTATTATGCGCATTAAAGAGAAGAAAAAGACGTTACAATCTCGTAATATATAAAAACTATTTACACAGGTGGGCCATAGTGATAATCGAGTAAGGGCGTAGCTCTTATTTTATTCCTTGATTTTTTTAATTCGTTTTCGGCCACATATCATAATCTATAAACTATATTATATATTATACACGGGTCAGCGATACCCGATTGCAAAAACAAATTAGAAATGTATCCATTGTAGAAAATAAGTTAGGCCCTGTTCTGCAACACATCAATAAAAATCATATTCAAAAGAAACATTTATTTATATTTTTTATTCTTTTCGCTCGCTGTCCTGTGACGGCCGATGGCAATAAAAGTATTAAAATCTATACAATATGTTTATAATGTACAGGTCTCCTGGTTTTATATTTATGTCCAAGATTAGAGATCAGGAACCCCTATAAACTATAGGTCTTGGGCAAGATGGTCCCGCTTTCTTACTGTGGACGGGCCTGAATACTATTGTCTATTATTATTTGAAAAAATTGGATTTGTGTGAGGGGTAGGTATACTAATTCACTAGTACTACTAAGTACTTTGCCAATAGTTTTTACTGGCGACAAGCGGCCTCTCTCATTTCGTCAGTCTTTATTTAACATAATTTGTACAATCGATTCGTTCAAGATAATATGCTCTACGGGTAGAGATCCATGCCGTACGGTAAGTTTATGCCGGGAGTCACGACAGCTATATTTTCGATTTGTTTGGAACTTTTAATACTGAGTGAAATAATGAACACGTGTTAACGGAGTAGGCGTTATAGTAATATGTACATTTACAGCTAATAGCGTAACGTATGATATTAATAGTTTTTTCGACCACATATCGTAAACACAATTATTTTTCTGTAGCCCGTGGTGCCCTTGACGACGTCGGTTGATCGCCACCGGCCACCGCCGCGCCGAGGAGACTTGAACGGTCGACATAAAACCGAATTGCATTATTCTATGTTTTCTGCTCCCACTCGATAGCCGACGTTGACTTATGGTGTCGTTCTGCCCGCGCCTCGTTGCTCGATCATCACCGCCTTTTGGTCGTCAGGTCTCCACTGCTGTCGTTGTCGTGTCGCGTTTTCAACCGGTCCTTTCCGCGTACACACACACACACACACACATACATACACATTATTATGTTCTAATTGCCATTGTGTCGATCGGAGTCGTCGCCAGAGTTGCCCCTGATCGTTATGTAAAACGGTCGCATCTCTGTCAGTAAAGAAATCACGTGCACGCCGTTTAAATATACATATTATTATACATATTGTATTTTTACAGAAGGTAAGTGTCTCGCCGGAAACCAACCGTCCGGACGCTATTTGCATTATTAATATAAATATCATATACTCGGCAGTCGCATAGAGCGAAACACTTTAGGGGGGTAACTGTAGAAATGATATCATCGTGTAGCAAAAACATAAGCAACATTTGTGGTTATATTATACAGTTAAGCATTGACATTTTTTTTTTTTTTGAAAACCTTAATCACACAAATAATAGTTTTATTTTTTTGGTTAAGGTTTATTTTATTTCTTAACTATATCACACTGTGTAGCCCGGAGTCATATCATCGTTGCATGTATACAGAGTTAACTACGACCCAGCCATTATCTCTTAAGACTCTGTAGATTTTTTTTTTTTTTTTTGTAGATTTGTTGGCATAAAATAACCTACATGTTTGAATATTGTAAAAGAGTAGTAGTCTAATAAGATTGATGACTGGTCGATAACCAATTTTGAATAGTTATTTTCCAAGTAATAGCTTGTTACAATTTAAGCACCAGAATTAAATGTAAACACATATTACCCTTCAATTTCCCTGGTGCCTAAACTTTAACAAGCGATTAACTTGGTAATTATTTAAAAATAATTACAAAACTGGGTTATCGACCAGTATAACATTATTTTATTGATACAATAATTGTTAAACAAGTAGGTTGTTATTTAAAAATGCAAAGATGATATTAAGTGACAGTTAGGACTTGGATATGGGAAATTTGTATACAAAGTATTTTGAAATTCAGGTTACTTTACTTCAGAAGTTCTGCAAAAATAAAATAGTATAGAATGTTAATAGATAGTATGGCCGGGTCATTGTAAGCCAATCACCCGGCACATTCATTATACGATAAATCAACGAGCTATTGATAGCGGCCAATTGCGGTTATGTATGTTTATAACGGATAAATGCACGACGTAGTATTGCGCTTAGCGTACCTTTGAAATTCGATTACAGGACAAAAAGGTCAAAGGAGAGCTAACAAACTCGATACGTCCCACCATCGAATATTGGTGTAAATGGCAAATACAAATGAATTATTTATCACTCGCAGACAACCGTTTAATATGTTACGACTGAAATAGTCGATTATTGACATTCAATACATGATCCAAATTAAAACTCGTCCGATAATATTTTATTGTCGTGCGATGAGTGTCCCCTAACAATAGTTAAGACAGTGCCAATATTCCTAGTTTTTTAGTACTAGTCGAGCATAATACGCGCCTAGTTGCGTCCTAGCACCTGTGTAATTATAGCTGTATATTCTATATTTTACAGTCATGCAATGTTGTGCCAAAACATATTACTTAATGGTGTTTAGAAATGATTAAAACAAAAGTCAATAACTTTGTCGGTTAGAAGAAATGTTCACTATAAGTAAGTGATGTATAAGTCAGAACTTATTGCAGATAAGAACTAATATTATCAAAAAGCGATATTAGTTTATTCGAGACATTATCTAAACAACCTAGCCTAATAATTCATTCACTAACTAAAACATTTCAAAATGTTTGCTGATTAATTAACGCCGTGTGATGAGCTACTAAAATGTTTAAGAAGTCAATTAATTACATTTCTTAATCGAAGAGAATAGATAGAGTCAAATTAAGACTAAAACGCAAAATTATTTTCTCAGGTGACATAACAGAATTAATAGGTTTGTTAGCTATTTCAATTTTTTTATGAGGTTTACCATTTCCTTTCCGGGGATAAAAGGCGGTTTTTTTTTAAATTTTGTTTTTAAAATTGTGCTATAAGCGTTTTTATTTTTATAGGGTTTTCAACAAATCTTACTAATCTTGTAATAAATCGAAAGTTGTTATTTTACCCCTTTTACAGAATCTTATGCTTTCCATAACTGTACCTAGAAATAATCAACTTTTATTTAAATTTAAAATACCTAATTGGCATATTTAAAATAACTCCTAGTTAAATGTACATAAAACATTGCCAGTATTTTGCCTCTTAATATAGAGTTCTTTCTGTTTTCTTTAAATCACTATGGACGCTTATGCAACCCTATGTAAATCAGTCAAATATTAAATCGTAACTTAATATTTTCGATTAAAGTATTATTGTAGTATAAATACGTGTTAAATCAATCTTGAATATCATCGAAAATTGAAAAATTAGTACTTAAATCGACTGCATTTTATTTGAAGAACTTATAAATAAATAAATACATTACCTAGCTACAGAACAACCAACAGTAATTTGGACCATGTACAACAAAGCGGATGTGACAAAAATAGGGTTACTACAAATTATACTGAATGGTCTACTTCTTATTAGGCCCAAACGGTTAGCCTTCAGCTGTACAATTTTGATCAGAAGCCTCGGGTTGGCTTATATAATGAGTTGGTAAAATATGTCGGTAGATTCCTACATATTTTCCCTATCATCTACAGAGACGTAACTAATACAGACAGACGACAGTAAGACAGTAGTCAAATTTTGTATACATTAATTTTAAGGGTTATGACTTATAATAAATAATGCGGTTCCCACATCCCCCATGATGGCAACTTTTGTCTCTTGTAGAGCAAGGGTTGTCCAAACCGACCTAGGCAGATCGTGAACTAAAAAAAAAAAATAATGCGATTGGATTATCTAGAAAAAAGCTTTTAAAATTAATATTAAAATACATTTTGTAAAAAAAAAAAAAGAAAAATACATTTACAAGCATTTTCAATAACTTATGCTAATACTTTATTTTTACATTAAATAATATTGAAATGATTAGTGTTGTACAAGTGTAATACTGAACAAAACGTTTTCGTATAAATTTATTATCACTGCGATTTATGAAACGAATCGACTTGTTATCGATTCGTTAAGCTCAACACCTAAAAGAACAAGTTCCCCCTCACAATTTTTTTATAATACATTGTTGGACCATTGTTTAATTGTAAATATTATACCTGAACGTTTAATTGTGAATATTATACCTGAACGCAGATACGGGGAATAAAACAAACTGGGAAATTTACTGCAACGCTAACTTGTCTACTTTTGTCGGTGGCCGTCTCGTCCAAGGTTCGACCGCGGTTCCTGATTTCTTAAGCGTAACTCGCGATTTTCAATTTAGTAAATAACACGGCTAACACGACGAAGTGTGTCGTTATCGGCCGAAATGCACATCCGTAACGAATGATGAAGAAATGAAACCAGCTGTGTCGTTGGTGTTGGCTAATCGCTAAGACCTATAAATAATAATAATAATATTAGAACGGTGGCTCAATGCGGCTGACCTCTGCACTTGTCAATCGAAAGCCGCGCGCGATGCAAGTTATACGATTTTGACGACCGTTATAATATTGGACATACTCGTTTTTGTCGGTCTTATACCTATCTATTATCGCGGTTCGATCGCCGCGAGCGTTGCATTTGCCGTGAAATAATTGTTAATATTGTTATTAGCATTCATCGACATCATCTCGGGACGACTTTCAAGGATGATACAGTTTTGGTCGTTTGCCAAACGTTTACACCAATTAAAAAAATACATTATATTGTATTTATTTCATTTCTGTGATTCTTTTCGCAACCTCTACCAGAAGGAGGAAGGAGCCTCGAGAGTCGAAGGGGTCGCTGTGCATCAGACATGAGTTATTGTCGGCCGTAACGGCAAGGACGCGATCATCACGAGTCCCATTTACCAAACGCGTTAATTGTAGCGAACTGCACTGTCAATACAACACGCGTGCGAGCACACAATATGTTGTGTATACAGATATAGGTACTGTATACATTATAATTATACATATACATACGTACAAAACGTATGGTTGATACGATTATGTATTATCGCGCATGACGGACGTCTAATTACGGTGATTATCACGAAGAGACTATCTTTGGACCGCAGCCTTGGCGGCCATACCATATTTTGTCAGCGCCGCAACCACGATGATCTATATTTATTATATAATATTATATTTTAAGGTACGCTATTGTAGGTATATTATATCTATAGGTTATCAGGAACCACGAAATTGCATTGTTCGACCGTCGCCACCGTCCGGTAAACATTGAAATAATATCCGTTGTCTAGATCCATTTCCTAATCGCGTTTGCAAATTGTTAAATTGAGAACTCGGTCGTGAGTGTTTAGTGTTGAACTGCTTATATTATATTATTTTAGTATATAAATATATTTACTAATGTCGTTCAGGATAGCGAATTCGTCTAGAAACTACCTCGTAATGGTAGCGTTAGGCCTTCAAGCCCGTTAAAGTACATGATGATAATGACGATATTATTATTATTACGATTATTACTAGTGCCATGGCTTCCACGATAACGTAAACCGAACAAACAGGGAAATATGTTTAGTGCTACCGACAAATATAACAACTTATATGTACCAAATTAGTATTGTGTAAGCCTAGTAAAATTTTAATTTGTTTCAAAATATTACAACCGGCTATAGAGAGTCATAACATATTATCCAACAGAAAGGAAATAACAATAACAGCATTCAAACAAATAACAGTACGTGATACATACCAACAGTCTTAATCCTTATATTAGTACGCATAGCAGACTTCTGCGACTAAACTAAGTCTTCATTTTCTAACTGAATTCCGCATAGCACGACGGTTGTTAAACGCATTCGTATTATTTGGTTATTCGTAAATTCCTAGTAACCGACGACTCTTATGATTTGTCATATTTTTAACACAAAAAATGTAATTAAAAAATATTCATTTAGAACACCTATAAATAATAGGATGGGTTTTAAATATTAACGCGTATAATAAATGCTCTGATGCACATCATCTACGGTTATTATAAGCAAAAAACACTAATAAAATATCATTAAAAAAAGATAATTACGTATTATTAAAGTTTAATTTTTTCAAGTACTAACTAAATTTAATACGTTATTTTAAGGTCATATGTGAACTTCCTACAATAGAAACCGAAAAAATTCATTAATATATTTTAATAAAAATTCTAACCACGATAATATTTGATTATACCTATAGTATAGTATAGTATAGTATAGTATAGTAAATACTTTCATCATCATCGCAGACATAGACAAATTTCATTTTTTTAAGCAAATATTTGTATACTTTTTTCTACGTTTATTATGACCGTTCGCATCAACTATACTTCTTAAAATGTAAGGGTAGCTCAACAGTACTGAAACTATAGGTTAACTCTACTTTATGAAACAAATTTTATTTACTATTTTACATGCTTTACATTTTCTACTTCACTTATTTTTTTACTATAGTATTTTTACTGTGTTTGTTTGTATTGACGTCTCTGCTGTTTTTTAAGTAGAATGTTAATTTAGGAGACTAAACCACATCACTGCTAGTTGATAGACACATTTGTTTAAATATCTGGCGATCTTCACTAATCTTTAGAAATTTCCAATGATTTACCCTGTGGGTATAATGTTTCCATGTAGCTTCGTATCAAAGCCAAAGTAATAAGGCTTATGATACTTTAATACATTAGCGCCGTCTCAAGAGTTTCAAACCACCGGGACTCAGTCGTTTTTTTTTATCACGACCGTGTTATTATAGATATCTAATAGTACTTACTTAAAACTAAACACTTACTTTGCTCGACGTCAATCCGATAAATCACGTTCGGATTTGTTTTTGTTATTTTTCTAATCAGAAGAAAGTCAAACCTCAATTTATAGCCGAAATTATAGGGCCCGAGGACGTACCAATACACCGTAGGCGATGATGATAATAATAATTATAATAATGTTATTATAAACGCGTTATTGATTGCCGCGGCCAAAGCCACAGATTTGGACGCGGCCGCGATGCGTTCGCTCGCGCCGCCAAATCTATTAGTGGTTTTTACGTTACCATTACACTATAGCAATTATCATAATATTACAGCCATTCGATGTGTTAGACTGCATAATGTGTATGTGTATATAGGATATCACCTGTTCTGGTGGTCACGACTTGTGATTTATTTGTACTCGGCCTGGCTCCGGTGTTGGGCGTTTTTCGCGTCTCCTCGATGCGACGACGCGACCGCCCTAAAATTAGATCGGATCACGATCCCATCGATCATGTTGTTGTTATCATCGTGCGATAAACCGCGCTATGGCCCGCGATACACATCGGACGGCGTTAATTCGATCACGAGCCGCGGTGGTGATGCTGAAAGCCAAGAGGTTTGCGGTGTGTGAAAGAGAGAGTGAGAGAGGGAGAGCGAAGGAAACGCCAGAAATACACATGCACATGCACATACAGCGACGATAATCATACTAATAAAAACCCGGCGTGGACGCCCCCAAAAACCCGTTCATCTAGATCTCTGGCCGCCGCACGAACGGGTTTGCGGTCAAAAGGCCAAAATCAATTTGGACTATTATTTAAAACGTCACCTGCACGTCCGGCAAAGTGTCGGTGCCACAAGCACTGGCATAATATACAACAACACGAGGCCCAAGTATGCCCCCGATAACTAATCATTACAACGAGATCGAGATCGTGACCGCTCGGTAACTCGTTACGGTTTTTATCGTTTTCCGCGTCCGACAAAAGGTGTACGTCGCAGGAGACGTGCCATTGCCGTATTAAATCGGTATAAGCTCCAAATCCGACAAAACTGCATCTCAGGTAGACATCCTCGCAAAATGTATGAAAACAGTTATGAGCTACTTATTTGTCAATTCTTAGCTATCCCTTAGCGCCAATATTAGCCACGAATCACTTTAAATGTTGCAAATCTAACAACTATTCTGGATACATACATTGAACGTATCCCTCAGATTATCAAATGTAAACGCCATTTTCTGCTTTAGCACCCCAGCCCCCGACTAAAAAAATTAGTTACGCCTATGTTAATAATAATTATCTATTATAGATAACTATTTGATTTCATTTTAACGTCCAGTGATATCATTGTAGATAAGAAGTTCTATAAAATATTACAATAATTCATTAGCTTTACAAAGTTACTTTTTTTTTACCAACTCAACAAAGTAATCCAAAATTTAGTTATAAGCTAAAATCACAACCCTTGTAGTTTTAAATAATTAAAGAAAGAGTTAATCGGATATTATAATTTTTCTATAATTTTTTTCAGACATGAATCAGACGTGTAAAGTGTGCGAAGAGCCGGCCGCAGGTTTTCATTTCGGAGCTTTTACGTGTGAAGGTTGCAAGGTAAGTCACATAAATACATTGTCGTTATTTAATTGCTCTATCCAACAAAAACCCTTCGTTAGCTCAATGTAAATGCTCCCTAAGTAAAAAAAGAAATGCAAACGTGTTTTAAGCCTTAAAATATGTAATATAATATTGGAATTAGTTTTATAAGTAAATACCATAATGTAACCTAAATAATTTACACCGTTACCAACAAATAAAATCTGTGTAAATACTTGTACTCATAAAAAACATAATATACCAGAAACAAAAGTCTCATTTTCTGGATCATCTATATAGGCCCTAAAAATAAAATTGTTGGTATTTTTTTTATGTTAAAAACTCAGGTTTTTCCGAGTTTATTTGTAAAATATCCATTAAAACTAAAAATAAACCATACCATTGATTTTTCCAAAAATGTATTCGAGTAAAACGTTATTCGAATAATTATTTCATAATTTATTCGAATAAAACGTTATTTGAATAATTTTTCCACAATTTATTCGAGTAAAAACTTATTTAAATAAAAAATTATTCAAATAATGTTTTAAAATATAATTACTTAAAAGCACAAACTATTTAAATAATATTATTAAAAATTAACCAAATAATTTTTACTTAAATATTGTGTTTCTAGATGGTTATTTAGATAACGTTTCATTAGAATGATGCACAACTCTGCCAGCAGTATACATCGTTACATTTTGTTTAGCTTTGTTTCATATTTATATAATATTTGTACTAGTTTCAAAATGATAATTCTAAACCATTAAGTTTTTACTTATACGCATATCATTTCATGTTTATTTTCTTTTACTTAATAACTAATAAGTCCATACCATTTTGCTTTGTAAAAAAAAAAACATTGTTGTGCTTAAGTTACCAATTTAGAGCACTAAGAAGCAAGAAAATTAAGAAACGAAAATATGTGCTACAACTTGAGTAGTGTTAAGCGAAGAATTCTTAAAATAGTTATTGGTTTTAACAATTATTGATAGCTTAAGGTAACTTTACCTTAAAACAACACTACTACACTAATTAATTTCTTGTAATACTTATATTAAATATTTACTCATAATACATACATTATACGGTGCAACACAAACGGCTTCCATCCATTGTTTGTTTTTTCCCAAACGGCTCCGGTATTCGGTACTACGCGTATATTATCAAGTCTCTTTAACTTTTCAAAAAAATTTAAACTTAAATTTAAACCTGTAACCTCCTCCTAGACTGTAGCCTACAAACCTAGGATATTTTTAGTTAGCGGAGCGAAGCGATCGAATGTCATAACACTCGGAGACCTGCCATCCTTATCAGTTATCAATACGAATTCCGAATTTGGTAATAGTGGTAGCAACCCCTATTAAATCAATTAAAATTTTTGAAAAAAATATAGGACATTTTTCGTTTTATTTCCATAAAAAACTCGCTGACGAGAAGGAATTTGTGTTGTAAAAAACCAGAGCCGTTTGGGAATTAACCTTTTTGTAAAACGGGAACCGTTTAGGATAAACGGGAGCCGAATGGGCTACGTCCACATTATGTATTGAGACGCCGTTGTTGTTGACAGTATTGTTTATTATCACATTATTATTAACACTGCCACTTGTTATTTCCTTTTCCAAGCGAATATTTAAACAGATTCGTTGATTACTCTTAACTCGGTTGATATTATAATAACCAGTTGGTTTGTCCGTCATTAACAACAGACTGTCGTTCATTAATCATTCATTTGCGCTATCAAAAATATTTCGTCTAATTAACAGTTCAATCATCATGACCGAATGATATTTTTAACACGAATTAACCCTTACCGACAGAACAGTAAACGCATAGGCACTATAGGTACGATTTAAAAATGTAATCAATAATAAAATACATTGTCATGTTGATCTTTAATATATACGTGTATATTTATTTATTCGTTTAATAACTAATTAACTGTGAAACCGCAATCTGTAGTCTACGTATGTTACTAAAATTAAACAATATACAAAGAAGAAATACTTATCAAATAATCGATTATTGAGTTCAGGCCGTATGCTCTTTTTCTATATTTCAGGAAAAAATGTTTTTTATACAACGCTACTGGGCGTAATAATACCAAAAAAAAAAATACAATGTTTTGAAAAGTTGCTCAAGTAATATGTTTTTCTAGTTTCGGCAATGCGCGATATTATGTATGTTATAACCTATAATACATTTTGTGATTTTTAAGACCTTATTATTATTGTTATGATAGTGTTTGTGTTTGATTTGACAGTCTTTTTTCGGACGGGCACACGCCAATCCAACGAGAGCTGTGACGGAATGCAAGTCCGGCGGAGGTAATTGCGTGATAGACAAGAAAACCCGTACTTCATGCAAAGGATGCCGGCTGAAGAAGTGCTTGACTGTGGGCATGTCGAAAAACGGTTCCCGGTACGGTCGCCGATCCAACTGGTTCAAAATGCATTGTCTCTTACAAGAACAGCAACAGCACAACCGGCACGTCCGATCGGAAGTGAGATTTGACACCAGCTCAATAGCATCTCTGCTTTTCGCGCCAAAAACTTGGGTTCCTTTGTTGCAAACCAAGTGTTCAGTATTTCACAAACCAAACGATGAAGACGAACACCACCGGCCGATCGACCTCCGAGTACGACAGACTTCCACAACCGAAAACGGCGATGATGACAACAATAACGGTATATCCAAATATAGAATTCGAGAGATCTGGAAACTCTCGAAAGAGGAAAATCCGCTCATAGTGCCACTCGACTTAACCCGAAATAATAGAGATCACATCCGTTTGAACTTGACCTCGTAAAGTTATATTTGGATTTCATTAGAAAAAACTTATTAGATTCTAATCCAGTATGATCTACCACAAGTTTTAAGATCCCTCCCCTATTACTACTTCCCTACTGACACACGACTCATTTAAAAACTGTGTATATTCTGATACTCGTTCATTTACTACATAGTTTTTAATTATTTATTGTAATTATGAGTCTGTTAATTATAATATAACGCCATTAAACGGCACGGCGTAATAATTATTGGTGATTGTAGTAGGTATTATATTTTGATCATTTTATGTTAGTCAGATCTCAGCTTAAATATTAAGTATTATATGTTTTTTATATTTGTATTATATTTCAGTGTTGTTGATGGTTAATAAAAATTAACTAGTTTATATACATGTTATAAATAGCCAATAGGTTTATTATAAAAACTATACATTTAAAAGCGTTTGATTAAAACATACTAAGTGTTAATAACTACAAGATCCATTAGCATATTTGTGCCTTAGTTCCAAAAGCTCCAATCTCATTTTTTGAGACTTTAAAAAAAACTTTAAAAAATCTGACAATGTTATAAATCTGTAACAAAAAAAATTTATCAGATAATGTTTTATACGTTTTATATGTTAGTTTTTTTGTAATTTAAATTTGGTTCAATTTTAGTGCGTGAAAAATACATTTTATAATACTTAACTCAATGAATATGGACTTTTTTGAATAGGGCTCAAACTTTTCTTGTTAGATATGATTGACCCGACATCACTGACGTCATCGACGCGGATCAAACGGGTCTGTGGAGTGTCGGCACTCTCATCAGGGGCGTAATTAAGGGGAGGGGGGTTAGGGGGATAGATCCCCAGAGCCTATATTTAATATTTATTAATTCATTTGTGGCTTGTGGGATTGTGTGTTATCATGTTGACATCACGACCAAATATATTTAAATAGAATTCCTTAATAAAATAATATAAAGATATCTATAAATAGGTATGCACATGGAAAATACTGATAATGACCTAACTAATTACCTAACCTAAAGTCTAAACTAACCGGATGATGTGATTGACGAGTTGGCTAAACAGCCAAGAAAATTAGAATTTCTTTTATAAACAGTACAAAAAAGAGCTATGTACTTTATATTATATTACAAACAAAATAAATTTAACATTTTAATAATTATAATTTATTAAAAAAAAAAATTTAATTTGAATGTATTCAACTTACATTTCTTCTTAATGATTTATAGAATTTCTATTTGAAGAAACCGGTTAAGCAGTTTGGAAGATATCGTGGGGTTGTTCAAAAAAATGAAAACGTGTAACTGTAAAAACATTACTATCTAAGCTTCGCGTCGAAGCTAAAATATTTTTTAAATCAGTTTGTTGCCTTTCCGACATGTTAAGAGGATGTGATACAGGATACCCCTTATTTATTAAGGAGTAGGTATTAGGTATAGGCAATTTTTTGCAAAATCTTAAACTGTAATGTGTAATTATTGGTTTAGTATTTATAACTCTTTTTCGGGTGGTTAATTAATTTTTAAGACTATCACAGCATCTTTGTCAGCGATTTAAAATATGTTTTACATCTAAACATAGTTACGCAGAATATATTAAGTCCATGGTTATTTTAAAGTAAAAACACTCATTATGAAATCGAAAGATAACAACATTTTGGAGACAATATTTTGAGAGACATATTATCCAATTTTGAAAATAACAACTAACAGCAAGTAAAAAATGAAGTTTAGTTTGAAGAGCAAGTACAGAAAAATAAAAAAACAACCTTTTTAAGGTAATAAAGGTGGATTATGATGGAGGAAACATAAATGAAATGTTGAAGAATACAATAAAAAAAAAATAGTCTGAGAAAAGAATATCACCCAAAAGCTCTGTAAAGAATATTTAGTTTGATTATAACGGTGACTATTAGATGCTCTTATTATATTTACTGAACAGTGGTTCTTTTAACATTCCATTAGTTGGTCCAACATAACTGAAGTTCCTTAAATAAATATTTATTTGATAGAAATGGTATTTGTTGGGTACAATTACAAAATAGAATTGCCACGGATGCAACCATAAGTTGATTGAAAAGTGTAAAATTCAAACTTTGATCCTGACTAGTGACAATGTATTGAATGATAATCAGTTTATGTTAAAATAGTACATGAATGTAAGCCGGGAAGAGGATTGCATAGGTATTGTGCATTGTTAATACAGTGTATATTATTCATAATTCATTTGTTAGTAATGATCTCTCTTTTTTTATGCCTAGCAGTCTTCTCTTCGCTGTGTCAACTTATATGAACGATGATTAATGTTTTGTGATCATTGTTAATGGGCGTGTAGACGAATTATAAATCATAAAAAGTCACTAATACGATAGGTCAATCTAATTCTTACTTCGGGGTCAATGTCTTCATTAAGTCATACATTCGGATGCACATTCAAAAAGAAACATAACACGTCTAAGTTTTGGGGGGCGAGGGCCTCCTAGCTGTGTGTAGTGTAATAATTGCTATTTGCTATATAATTCTGATAATAATTATTTTCAAATAACGTGTGAACTGTGAAGTATTTAAACATTAATTAAATTATATGACATACCATAAGCACACAACGCTCTTGTTGTTCATTCATTACTATTCAAAAATTAGCATAGGTTTTAGTTGTTGTCTGTTATAGTTACAAATATAAAACAGATTTAATAATTGTTGAACGTATTAAGTTTATTAAAAAACATAGGTATTCAAATTCAATACATATTCTCTAAAACTGTATTCCGAAATTTGTGTTTATTTTCCCCAAAGATACAAATAGTTATTATTTAATAAATAAAAAAAAACATAATTTGTGAAAAATTTTAAATTAAGTTATTTTTAATTAAGTTTGATATCGCAGTAAATACGAATAGCTAATAATAAGGTAAATAATAGGTACTATTCACATAATTTCCTAAAATTACAAGAAGTTATTTTATACAAATGTTTGTAGTTTGTTTCGGTTAGATATAAACGGAAGGAAAATTTGCCAACTTTTGATCCTTAATTTATTTTTTTTTGTCGTGCTGAATAGATGTATTGATTACATACATCGATTTGAGGAGCATTACTATGTTAAGAAATACTCCTCAAATGTGTGATATTAGGGTGGTCCTTAGTTATAGATGAAGAATTGTTTTAAAAAGTTTTTCATTGGGCTACCCCGCCATTTTGTTCATAACTATGAAAAAAAAATTTAGGTAGAATTTGGTTTTGATAACTCACCCCCTTCACGTGCCGCAAAAAAATGTTTGTCTCTTCAAGTACCTACTGGCCGGTGGCTAGGTGCTATTTATAATATAACTTATTTAGTACATATATTTTATATAAATAAGTTTTGAAATACATATAGCCTGACAATGTCGGTATTGTATTATGGTGACGATACTTGTTGATCTAACGCTTGGACTTTGATCAATCGATATTAGACAAGGTAGCATTTAGTGTAATACTAATGATTGCTACAACTTGTTTATAATCTTCGTAAAGGTTCCATCGATAAGACATTATTTTACGTGCAACGACATCATTTACTGAATTTGAACCAGACGGGTTTCGTCGTTGATGCCGTAAAGTAATTCTTATTTAATAATTGTAATTACCTTTGTGAACTTCAGAAGAAATTAATAAGTGACTACAACAAAGTGTTAACAAAAGATGAGGATCAGAAACAATTTTTAATGCAAACCATATATAATTATCGTCGACGGTTTCCTGATGCTAAACGAAAAACATTATAAAATGAATATTAACTTGGATAATGCTTTAATTTAATTATTCAAATAAAATATTGAAACTATATAGATATATTAAATTTAATTTTAACAAAATAACATTATATGTGATGTGTACAATAAAATAAATATTAGCTAAAATGTATTTGTTTTTTTTTTAATAATAGGAAAAATATTATTATTTTATTTTGTTCCCGGGTCGATTTCTATATTTTTTTTTTCTAACGATAATTTTCGTTTTTCACAATATATTTGTTTAAACGATCTTAAAATAAAAAATGGTTGATCGTATGACATTTTTCCTAATAATCTATTTTGTAGGAAATTTAATTTTGTATAAAATGCAATGAAAGCGTTTACTCTATTTCCAATCGTTCATCAAACATATTTAAATAACCGTAGAAAACCAGTTTTTCCAAATAAATGAAAAAAGGTATGTTTTATTTTTTTTTCTTGGACAATAATGCATTTTTTGAAAAATGTATAGGAACCTTTTTTATAGAGAATTTAATGATCTATCATAAAATTAATATGTAATTTTATGCTAAATGCAATAGCTTTCTACTTAAACTCGAAAAACTATAAAACTACCCTATTTGGTCATTTTTCAACCCCCTTGCGGCACGTGAAGGGGGTGAGTTCTCAAAACCAAATTCTACCAAAATTTTTTATTTTATAGTAATGAACAAAATGGCGGGGTAGCCCATTAAAGTTTTAAAAGTTCATAAATAAGAACCACCCTAGTGTGACATATACAAACACTCGAACACAGCGAAGAGAACACTGCAAGACATAAAAAAGAGAGATCATTACTAACAAATGAATCATATGAATAATATACATTATATTAACAATGCACAATACCTATGCAATCCTCTTCCCGGCTTACATTCATGTACTATTTTAACATTAACCGATCATCATTCAATATATAGTCACTTAGTTGTTATTCTCAAAATTGGATATGACATTGTCTCCAAAATTGTGTTGTCTTTCGATTTCATAATGAGTGTTTTTATTCTAAAACAACCATGGACTTAGTATATTTTGCGTAGCTATAACAGTTTAATATTCGCATCTCTCGACTTGATCGCGAATACCGTTTAAGCGCAATCGTATATGTATTTGTATCATTTGGAAATTTATGAATTGTACTACGGCTTACACAGTTTATCGATACCATACTACCTACCCAAGTGGGTACACTACATACCACAGCTGGAGTTGATAAATTCTATAGGACTTGAGGAAATTTCTGTAAAGGTGTGCAGGGGGTCGTGGGACGATAAAATAATTTTCCCGAGATTACATTTTCCTAAGCAATCAAAGTGCACATCGGATATCTCCGTATTGGTATCCAAACAACTATCACGCCGATTTCTCGTTCTTCATTCATACTGTGAGAGTGTCGACACACCACAGACCCGTTTGATACGTGTCGATGACGTCAGTAATGTCGGGTCCTCCGTTCCACTGCTATTCATTATTTTGCTGCTCCGGTCCATTTCCGCGCGAGCATATTGTACC